GCCCAGACATAGATTTTGAGGGCTTTTTAAAACAAGAAAAGTGCATTGTTTCAGCACTGCTCTTTCTAATGACGTTTTCTCCTCTCTGATCAAGAGAATCCCATAGGGATATGATATGTGGCACTGTATAAAAGAGGTTGCTCTAGATCACGTTCAGTGGGAGTGAAGCAGTGCCTGATTCCACAAACTACTACTTTTTTTTTTATTGGACTGTCTTTACCAGAAACACATACAAGCCCTTTTATTTCCCTCTTGGTAGGAATTGGAAGGAAAAATAGCTCACCATTTCAAGGATGGAAAATATTACTCTGATAAGGAGGAGTTGCTGAACTTTAGGTAAATTCAGACTGGGACACTTTATATTTTTTGGTTAATTTAAGTAACAAAAACTTTTTTTGTAACTGCACTTGATTTACAAGAAAGACGAGGGAAATGAACATCTACCAAAGATGATCGCTTAAAAAGGTGTAACTCCTAGAACCTAAAAAAAGTGTGAGAAGTAGTAGAGGCATTGAACAACCTCAGATAATAATGTGCTCGGACCCATTGTGCTTTAAATTGGCCAGCTATGAAGATTTCATAAAAGAAAAGAGAAAAAAAAAAAACAAACAAACAACAAAAGAGTGTTTTGTACCTGTAGATATGAGATAGTATTTGACTATCTGGAACGTTTCCCTGTTGCACCTCAGTCAGGAATTGCCGTGTCTCTTAGATTACAGCTTCACATCGCAGTTCTGCCAGTGTTAATCTAGCTAATGTTCAGTCTTCCTTACTTGCCCAATCTGCAACAGGTACTTGAATTTGTTTCCTGACAGAGGTTCTTTGGTTAGTTGGTTTATTTTTTAAATGGCAATGTGACTTGCACACGAAGGAATTGGACTCGCTACCGGTGGGGAGTGCTGGGAGCTGTGACTGTGGAGCAAGTTCCACTGCTCAAGAGGACTCAGGACTTGAGCTGTGATTCTTTTTACTCTTCTCTGCTCCATACCCCTCTCTAGAGCGACAGTCAAGGAGTGGAAATGTTTGAACACTTGCGCCAGATTATTTCCCCCCCCTAAGGAATTGGAACTGATTTGCGTGACTGAATAATGTCCTGTTTTGTCTCCAGAATGCTTGTAATATTTTTCACAGCCAAGCTTGTCAGACTTGCTTTGGGTTTTGTTAGCTCTGCTGCACAACAGTTACTGATCTTTCGGTTCTTTTTTTAATTTTCTTTTTCTTTCTGAGCAGGATTTAGCGTTTCGAACAAACCTCTTGCAGTTGAAACATGTTGCTTATCTGCCTTGAAACTGTTTTCACATATGCCTTTGTTTCGGGAATAAGCTGTTTCGAATGTCTGTCCTGTGCTGTAACGCGTGCTACAGTTTGCTGTGTGGAATTTGGTCCTTTTGAGAGATAACTGGTGCTCATCACATCCTGGTAATTTCCCTAGACTAACGCTAGCTCTGGTCTGGACTCTGAATGTGGGCTTGGGGTTTTTTTTATGTTCATACCCACATTCGTGATGTGAATCCCACAGGTCTCAACTTTGAAGGGGACAAAGGGGGGCTAACGTTTCAGCCCATATGAGTGCACTGTAAATAGAGTCTTTAAGAAATCAAAAATTACTATTAGGGGTCATAATGGGATATGAATCTTTGTATTCATTCATGGGTCATTCCCTTCGACGTGGGACAGATTTCTTCTGCCACTGTAGTCCAATCCCTATTCTGTGTGATGTGGGGGCTAACACACCGTTGTCTGGGAGGCCGAGGAGTCTCATGTCTTAAGTGTGTAGCTGGAAAAGCCACGAAACAAATGCAGCTATGAGAATACTTTAAAAAAGGGAGGACTTAGAGGGTATCATCAGCTTAGTTTTGTGGGCATTATATTGGTTGCTTTTCTCTTAATAAGCAGTTAAGTTTACTGTCAATTAGAAATTAAACACCGATCACTTTTTATTCTTGACAGTTTTAAAAATCTGCATTGAACCTGCAACTTTGACCTGGTAAGTTTGCCATTCTCCTTTTGGGAAACTAGCTTGTACCTTTTAAACTGTTTATCTTTAAATTGTGTATTAAAAAAAAAAAAAAAAAAAGATGAGAAAAAGGGGGGAGGAAGAGAGAAGGAAATTAGTGAACTGCAGACATCCTGCAATGAGACACTACAAAACAAACAACCCAAAGAAAGTAGAAGAATGAAGCTTGCTTAGCTAGGAGCAACAGCCTCGTTACCTGAAGTTTGTGAACAGGAATGAAAATAAAATGCAGTTAGTTCCTGCAGCAGTCTTTACAGAAGTCATGATACTAAGGGCTTAAGAGCAGTTAACTGTATTTTCTTATTCCACTCCAAAGAAACTCCTGCTAGAATTAAATTGGCTGTCTCTGGCTCAAGTGATACGAAAAGCCCCATAAACTCTAATCACTTTAGCACTTCCCCAATTCTGCCACTTCTGTCAAGTTGCCATACTGTGTGTATTAAAGTAATTAAATGCAATTTTCTCTCTTAATGATGTATTACCCAGGTATGTAACTTTGTTTAACATAAGCATTTTGTATATTGTTTACATTTTGAAAGGTAGCATTATGTTAAAAATGCTAATTTTTGTTTCTAGACAGTATTTTTATTACCAGAATAAGAAGTGAAGCTGCAAATATTTGATTTGTTTTTAAAAGGGACTTTTTCTTTTGTTTTTGTTGTTTTATTTTGATTTTTTTTTTTAATCTTGTTTTAGGTCACTTTTTTAACTCAAGTATTTAAAAGCAAAACCCAGCCCTTTCGATTCTGGTTCTACAACTGCTTGTGCTAGTTTGTTGTCTGTTTCTGGTGTGAATTTAGTTCTAGTTTGCTGAATGTAGATATTTCTGTCTGTAGCATGTACCCTGCGGAACACTTTACACTGAAGTGCATTTGACTGAGAACCCCCCTCGGCTGAGAGAGTTGCAGTAGGTAGGCGGATCACTCAGATCCTGGTCAGAGTACAGGAGTTTTCAAGAAATTGCAGTGCAATTCTTTGCTCAACTGGAGTTTCAAAAAGAAAAAGAAACTTAGTGTGCAGTGTCTCTCTCCAGTGCCCGACGGCAGGGTGAGTTTGTGTGAGAAGCGAGCTGCGGGATCTGTATTCCTGCCTGTACCGAGGGTCTCTCTCTTTCTGAGCGCGGGCCTGATCTGTCCAAATTTAAGAACTAAAAACTGTTTTGAACCTAGAACTTGTATCTCCCCCGTTGAGCTAGCTCCCGCAGCGTAAATAAGAGTGGGAGAGGGAAGGCGGAGTGCGGAGTCACAGTTTGGGTGCCGCTCTGCCCCAGTAGTGCAATAAGAAACACTCGAGAACATGTTGGGTCACCCTTTAGTAGGACTCGCGTGTTCTGGAGGTACCAGGCAGCACCCGCCCTTTGTGTCAGCTTTGGTGTGGGCGCCAGGAAGAAGGGCTGGTGTTTGCTGTGTGTAAGAAGAAAGTCAGCAGGAGTTCCCTTCTCACAGCAAGGAGCGGTGGGATCTTTCCCTCCGGTCTCGTACATGCCTCTGATTGACCTGGTTTTGATTATAAAAACCATGATCGTGAAATTCATCACGGGGAGAACTTCTGGGGTAGTAGGTGACTCCAGATTTCCTGCATAAATGAGGCTGTACTCCCACATCCGAGAATCCTTGTTCTGAATTGGATTACGATAATCGGCAAGAACTAAAACACTTGAGTCTTATTTCCTTTTCTGGGAGGAAACTCCTGCTTTCCCCTCCAGAGCGCTGCCACAGCCACCTTCGGTGGGGATGTCAGCTGGGGACTTGCCTCCTATCCCAAGAAGGGCACAAAGCAAGGTTGCGTTGTAGTTGCGGGCCGCGTTGGGCAGGGTTGTGGCTCAGCCCCGACGGATGGATGCCTCCCAGTCCTGTGACTACTATGCAGTCTCTATAGACGCCTCCCTTCAAGCTGCGCAGAGGTCAAAGTGTTTAACCTCAAGGTGGTACAAACCTTTCAGAAGTCAGCGTGTACGTCCTAAACTTGGTTTGCAACACTGCATAACTGATCTGAGACAGATCGTCCTTAAAATAGCTCCAAAAACAAAAGAGCTGTCCTCTCCCCGTCTGTGTCTTAATGCCCCGTTTCAGGTTTGCCCATCAACTTCCCCTACTTCTGCAGAGCCATTCTCCAGTATCCGTATTAGCCACTACTGATTTTCCTTGCTCTTTGAGATGAGTATCTTGTGTAATAGCGATGGCAAAGCTCGGGGAACCAACTGCTGGTCATCCATCATTTTTAGCGGTTTCAGTTTTCACCACGCAGAGGTTGTGCTGGTCTTTGTTCAGCTGCACAATGCTAAATGCAGCTGGATTGAGTCATGTCAAGTGAGCGTATTACACACAGGCCACAAGGGTGGGCAGGGCTAATCAGTGCAACTGAAAAATGTGAATAAATTAAGTTTAATCTAAAACTAAAAAAAAAAAAAAAAAAAAAAAAGGCATTCTAGGTTTTTTCACTGCTGTTTTTTAAATAGGAATTTTAAGTCCTCTGTGCTTGTCTGTTTGCTAGGAGCAGTTTGAGACACTGTTACTGTTTTGAAATGCATGCATGTTACAAGATGAGTCTCCAACCAGAGAAAAATAAAATTAAAACTTTGTGTACATCTGTTCCTTACTGCTGTCCTCTTTAAAGCGTCCTAATGATCCGCCGTTACTCCACAAGGTATGTGGTCGTTTTAAGTCCTAGATTAACCACAACTGGAAAAGTCTGTATACGTGCCTGTAAAATGGGGTTTTTAAGTAAGAACTGATTTTACCAAGTTCTGGATATGAGAATAAATTAGATTTGACGGGAAAAGCTAATACTGTTGTACTGTCTGAAAGAGATGCTGCTGACTGGCTGGGGCACAACACACATATATGGGTGTAGAGAGGGAGAGGAGTATGGGTGGCTCAGAGAGAAGGGTAAGCTCTGCTACCGTGTAAATCCCAAGCTCCTTCTGATAGCTTTAGAGATGTGAACTTAATGCTAGTGTTCAGACTCAAGAAAAGGAAAGTTGACTACAATAGAGTTTTATTTAAAAAAGTTCCGAGCAGACTGGGGAGTGAGACACAGGAGCAGATGTGCTGGGCTAGTCCATGCGAGCTTTCAGGGTCCTGGTGGTGATCTTGTCTTTTTCACTAGAGGGGGAAAGAGAAGACTACTAGTAAATCCGCATTTAATACCTCCATACAGATAGTCCCTTCATTAGGAAGTTGCGGGGTGCATAGGTACGTTGTTTGCTAGTGCAGGCAGGATCATCTGAAATTGAAGGTGGCCGTTACAGCAGGGTAAACCCCGTCTTCCTGCCGCTTCACCCCAGGGGAGCTCCTGGAGGTTCAGTGAGCAGCAGCGCCTGGGATGCCGCAGGGAAATGGCACCACGAGCAAAATAAACTGCTTCAGAAGTCAGCATGATTGCAGTCTGGAAGTTGGTGTCCAGTGTTAGCTGGATATCCAGCTGGGGCAAAGAGCATCCTCTCAGACAGTGCTACCCAGTCACGCTCCTAAATACTGATGGCAACACAGCTACGGAATCCATGCAGCAAGAATCTAACTCGGGCATTAATTTCCCATGGCTCCTGCAGCTCCAGCAACAGCCACGAACTGCAGAGAGCAGCCATGAGAAACAATACGCTTAGAATGGGCAAAAAAATGCTAAGGATGCTGCTGGAAGGGAGCAGGATTAGGGACACCCTGCAAACCAATGCCTTAACTGACTTTAACACACAGCTTATTAAATTCTACCTCTGTTTTGTAGGGGAAGAGAGCAGCACTTACATTATGTGTACTACCACGCCCATTCCAGATATGGCATCTCTGTCCACTGCATTCAACATGGCCTGCGAGATTGTTTCGAAGAGGTGATCGGGTTCCTGAGGAACAGAAGCTATTTCAGTTGGTGTAAAAATTGAATGTTGAGTCATCAGATTTTGTTCAAACCCCAAAGTATCATCCAAGACACCACAAGATTTTCCCTGCGGGCTGCTATAAGCTACAGCCTTTTTGTTCTCCTGAGCTGCTTCGGGAAGTACCAAAGGACACAGCTTTTCATCCGACCTGCGCATCTCAGGTTCTCCAGTTAACAGGAGGAGGCTGAAACCAAAAATCGGAGCTGAGCCTGGCCACCTCACTCACCATGTCAGGCTCCCAGAGGGACTCGCACATGCCGTACATCTGCTCGGAGCAGGTGCCGCTGACCACAAAGTCATCGGTTATCATCGGGCAACCGATCAGGTCTAGAGAGCAGATGAAAGGTTCATGTGTTATGGGGTCCAGCCCGGCTATGACTGGTTCTGTGTAGTAAGGTCCGAACCTGTGAAGAACAACATGGCATAGACACAGTTCCACAGCCCATGTAAACATCCATACGAGGAAAACATCCCACAGATGCTTTTGGTGGGGGACCTTTCAGGTCAACCTAGAAGCACCCTGCAGTGGTTTTAGCACGGCAAACAGAGCAAACTTGTACTGCTACAGGATTATTTTAACAATACTCAATATTCTTTTGCAAGGAGGTTGAAGATAACATTGCTGCTAGGTTGAAGTTTCCTTTTGCCATACCACAAGTAGTCATTACAGGAGCCCTCCTCAGCCTTCCACCTCTCGAATCAGATCAGCCCCAACAACCACAGCCTTCACTGACACACAAACAGTGACTGTTGTTTGACAGTTACCGTCTCTCATAGAGCAGATTGGAAACCATGCTCATAAAAGTCTGAGGTTTGATCTGCCTGCCTTCCTTCAGCTCGTAGAGATTCAGTCTGAACTTCAGTCTCTGGGCACTGCAAGAGATGAGAATCAGTATTAAAGCAGAAGCAGGTTCCTTTTTCTTTCATCTTCACCCAACTCTGAACTGTTCTACTGCACGCTGACAGAGAGCAGCTCCTGACGTATGCCTGAGGCAGGTAGGTATTCCAGATGTAGCTCCTTTTATACCTTAAGTTATTAAGTCTTAGTAGTGATGCCATTTTAAATAACATGCAGTTTTATTTAAAAACTCCCAGCGAAAGGAGACCAAGCAAAGGAGTGCTGGCACCCAGCTATTATATCCCCCCTCATGAATAAGCAAAGACATTTTTGCTCAGCGTGAACTGCCACTTCTTATTTATTGTAAATATGGCTCTTACAGGCTCAGTATGGGAATGGGCGGGCAGGAGTCTCACTTACACCGTCTGCACGTCCGTGGCCAGTCCTGCCAATC